GAAATCACATTCTTAAAGATCAGATCTTATTACCACTAACTTACTGGTGTAAATTTGTACATATTAAACTGCACTTGTTACTCAGATAAGTACAGGTGCTTAAGTATTTAAGCTGCAACTCTTACTGAAAAGATTAATAGTGCAAAAATGTAGTGCATCAAACTTGGTATCAAAGGATTACGAAACCTTAGGGATAAGAGTTCTTAGACGTTATTTTTTTTAATTAGAGATATCAAGTTTACCACCAGTGTAGAATAATATCAAGTTTATCTTTAAATGTAATATCAAATCTATATCTACTTTGAATTCCTAAGCCTATCATTCATGTGAAATATCAAGTCCAACTGAAATATCAAATTTAAAGTCTATCGTAACCTGCAATGAGAAATATTGTGTCTATTTGTAAAGATATAATATCAAATTCACCGATCACACGCCGATTTTTCCTTGCGGTAACGTTAGGTAATGTTTTTGTAAAAGTACTAATGTCCGATGTGAATCCACTGAAGTTAAATGGTCTGTAATGTTTGAACTTTATTAATGTTCCCGATCAAATATCTGAAGTTTTCCGATTAATAAGCGTTAATCACAATTACAGCATCCGAGATTTTTAGTATACCAACTATAGTAAACCAATAGTTTATACTCTCTTCTTTTTTTTTTGGCGCGTCGCGTTGGTTATATTTGTAGGCGTGTGGGAAGTTTCTCGAAATTTCAGTTTTACGTAACAATGCTGACGCTAACACTAGCGTTTATGTACACACATATATATTGTCGATTCTTATACTCGAGAATCTTCTGCAACTTTAAAGAATAGGCGGTAGTTTCTCAATACATATTTAACAATATAAGTTATGTACATTTGTAACTATAAATTTAATTTAAACAAACATCGATATTAAAATAAATGTATAATAATAAATCTGTCACATAGGTAACATTTAATATATACATTTGGAGTTACGAAACTATTACTACGAAAGAAGTCGCGGTCAATAGAGGTGTTGATGGCCACAGTTGATGTAAGAAACATATTCTAGTGGTTTTATATATTAGTATTAGTCTCAAGTGGAAAATACGCATCAGATACCAAGATTAGCTAATTTTTTGGACACCATATTTTTGCATTACGCTTAAATGTTAATAAATTTGGTATTGAAAAGAAAAAGTGGGTGAAAATTTGGTTTTGCGATTGCAGCTGCCATCTATCATTTCTAGTACGAAATATCAAATATATTATTATTGAACAAATCAAGTATATCTGTAATGAGGAATACCAAATTTATCTATACGTTGAAATAATATGTGTTATTGATGTGAAAAACAGCTTC